ATGAAAAAAAAAAAAAATTTTAATGGAAGCAATAAAACTATTCAAATAGTTTTATTTTGAAGTTTGATATTTTTAGAAGAATAAAATTTTGTTAAATTACAATTTCATGTTTAATTACTTTTACAGTGCTTGAATGTATCCAAATTCACTAGTAAATTTATCAATCAATAAATTTTCTCAATCATTTCAATGTTTAAAGCTAATTTCAAAAAATTTTTAATTTGATCATTTTCAAATTGTCATTTTAATTTTATATTTTAACATTTACAAACAATTATCAAAAATTTATGCAAGTAATTTATTTATTTTATATCTTTTTACTTACTTTTTTTTTGTGCATTCTTCTAACAGTCAACAAAATTTAATTCTTTTCATTTAAACAAACTATCATTTATATAATAATGCATCATCAATTCGGTGACAATTTTAATTTTTCATATTTTCCTGATGGAATCTTTTTTGATTTTTAAAAATTTTTAATTAACTTTATTGTGTCTAGTCTGTCTGTTTGCTTAGTTGGAATTATATTTATTGTTTGATATATTGATACTAATACTTGTATAACAATTATCTTAAATATAAAGTATAACTTAAAATCCCTAATAAAGCGAAGATAATTGGAAGTTTTTGGACTGCAAAAAAAAAAAAAGAAAAATTGAAGCTTAATTAATCAAATTTTAATATCTATCCTTGCAATTTTTTTATAAAAATAAAATAAAAATAAAAAAAAAAATAAAATAAAAACTAAACAATCATACATGTGCCAATAGGACTTACTAAAAAAGAGGGCTCTCCATACGCATATTCCAAAGAGAAGTCCAAGGTCAGTCAATATTTTTTCGGTTTAAATAAAACTTTACTCCCGAATTAATTAATTTTGATTACCTGGGTACTAATCCAGTTCAAAAACCAAATTTTAAAATGTTATTATTATTGATAAGAGAAATTTATCGAGCAAATGATGATTAATTTATTTATGTGAAATATACTAATTTGAAAGATTATTGTTAAACATATCTGAGTGATAATAAAGTAATTGTGTTAAATGAAATGGTTAATATTTACTAATTATTATCAGTTATTTGTGGTTAATCTTTGCTAATTATTATCAGTTATTTGCAAAATTTGTTAAAATTTATCCTAATCAATTAAAATGTATCTATCATTATGATAATGGTTTAGTTCACGATGATTGTTATCAGTTATAATATTGTAATAGAAGTAATCTTAGTATGAATTTATCAGATAATATCAGATAATACTCTTAAATAATCATTTTATACGATTTGTATAATTAATATTTTTATACCAATGTATTAATCCATCTTATTTTTTTTCTTTTCTTTTTTTTTTTTGATTAATAGCTATAAATTTGTGAAATTTTCTTGTCTTTAAATTTTACAAATCATTAAACAATGAAAAAAAAAAAAGTAGAAGAAAAAATTCTTTCTTTCTCTTTTTTTTTTTGTTTGTAAAATTTATAAAATTTGAACGATTCATTAATTTTGATGTTTTCTTCCATTTTTTTTTTTTTTTAGGACAACGATATAATTTTTCCTTTCTTTTCATTTTTTTTTTCATTCTATTATTTCTTTCTCGAATATATTTGATTGAAAATGATATTATCGTTGTTGTTATTTTCGTTTTTTTTTTCTTTTTAATTTTTTCTTTTCATTCATTCGGCATTTTTTATATTGGATGAGAATATGAATTGAATGAAAGGAATGTGTAAAAATCATCATAAAATGATAATATTATTTCAAAAACAAAAAAAAAAAAAACAGAAAATGATATAAATAAAAAGAAGAAAATGTGGATGGAATAAATTTAATAATTTTTGTGAGTTTTTTTTTCTGCTTTTTTTCTTTTCAAAATTTTGTTTTAACTTTTTTTTTTTTGAAGCTTATAAATTTAGATATCAAAAAAAAAAAGAAAATTACAAAAGAATAAAAAAAAAAGAGTTTCTCTTTCCAATTTTTAACGATTAATTCTTTTTTAGCTATGAAAAATTCTCATTTGTGTAATTAAATTTTATAATCTAACTCAGTATGTTTAGACTTTGATAATATTTATCACAAAATTTAATCTCTTTCTCCTTGTTTAGTGATTTTTTTTTTTTTAGAAAAATATTTTTATAATTTATGGTAAATGTAACACTTATTAGTATAAATATCATTTAGTAAAATGAAAATTTTACTAAAAAAAAAAAAATATTTCACTAATTATTTAATAAAATATTTCAATAAAATTAATAATTGAAATGAAATTCAATGTACTAATTTGATTAAATACTTTTTAAAGTTATTTTTTTTAAATTCTTACATATTTTTACTTGCAAAGTAAAAAAAAAAAGAATGAAAATGCTTTGTATACATAATTTGATAGAATGTGGAATTAATTCACTAATAATATTAGTAAATGTTTGAATTTATTTAACAATTTATTATCTCTTTCTCTCTCCCTCTCTCATATCTCTTTTTTTTTTTTAATTTAAACTTTTTAAAATTGCTCTTTTCAAGTTTATTTGATAACTTATTGTCAAGCTCTCTCTCTCTTTTTTTTTTTGTTTTTATTAATTCTTTTTCCCACTATCATATCTCTTTTAATTTTTACTTATTATAAATTGAATTTATTCCCATAACTAATATTCTGTTACTAATTTATTCTTTCTCCTTTTTTCAGAAAAAAAAAAATTCTTTTACTTTTTATGCATTCATATATTAATTTATTTTAATTCTTATTCTTTAAACAAAATTTATTTTAATTTTTGCCAAATGAAAAATTTCTCTTTTAATTGAAATATATTCCGAATGATTGCTACCGTATTATCCGATTATTGAACTAATCCATTGTCGGATTAACCGTTTATTTGTCCTCTTTTACCGGAATATCACTGATTTAGTTACGACTTCCACACTGCTTGTTGTGTGTGTATGTATCGCATCTTGCATTCTGCACATTCTGCATGTGGCATGCTCATGCATGCTGCATGTTATATGATATTATCAGTTTGTAGTCATAAACATTTTATAAATATAAAATATGAAAACACATCATTTCGTCATATTATAATAGTTAGTAGTATTACTATTGAATACCTAATCTCCTCTCTCTCTTTCACTCCCTCTCCCTTTCCCGTAGTCTTTCCTTATTGCTGCTATTGCTTTGTCCTATTTTATTGTTTCCTTATGAGAAAATGGTTGAAAATAGTGCATACTTTGAGGATGAACAAACAAACAAGTCTTTGTAAAAGAGCAAAGAGAAAAGCATAGGAGGGGGAGAGTGAGAGAAGGAGAAAGAAAATGTATAAAATATGCTTTTCACAATGAGTACGGATTTTTAGAATAAAAATCCTTCCACATTACTATATGTTACTATTATTATTATTATTATTATTATTAGTAATGTTATTATTGTTATTACTATCGCTATTATTTCTATTATTATTGTTTATTATCATTATATTAATATTAATTATTATTATCATTTATTATCATTATATTATTAATTATTAATATTACTATTATTATCATTATTACTGTCATTATTATTATTTTACTATTGTTATTGTTGTTATTATTATACTATTATTATTATTTTTTTTATTACTACTAATTGCTATTATTATACTATTATTATTTTTTTTTTATTACAGTTGTTACTGTTCTACTTACTTGCATGAAGAAAGAAAAAAAAAAAGGAAAAAGATAAGAACAAACAGAAACAGGCAAAGAAAAAAGAAACAAACAAAATTAATAACTAATTAGTGGGCGTTAATGATAACGGTAAATAAATTTTATTAATATTCAATTCATTTCAGCTACGATTTGACCCACTGATTTTATTTAACAGTAATTGCTTGCCTACATTTATTCATCAAAGTGCTCATACTATTTCGACTTATTGATTTATCGACAAAGCCAAAAATCAACAAAAAAAGGGCATCGATCGATAAATTTTTGTGTGTGCTTGTGTTTGTTTGTATCATCTGTTAACACTGTTGACAACCATATGTCATCGTCACTTATAATGCCTGTGGTAAGTAATTTTTAAATTTAAAAGTGAAAATTTCCTTCTTCTATATACATGAATGTATAGGTTTTTTTCTTACTTCTTTTTCTGATAAAAATGTTTGCAATACTCATCAATTATTGCCACATTTTTCCCATTCCTTTTTTTAAGATCGGAATCACTTCATAAGAGTTCCAATTCTATTCCACTTTTTTTATTAGCCTTATCAGTCTGTCGGTTTCATTTTCATTCTTTTCCTATAGACGTTATCACGTAGCTGTTCTCATTCCCATAGCTTTTTTGAAAGCTTTATCATTTTTGTGATTTTATTTCTGCTCTCTCTTTTTTCCCTTATGAGAATTACATTCCTCCCATATTCCACTTCCTCTGCTACGGTGTGATTTTGACATATGCAGGAAACATGGATTTTTCATCGCCAAACATATGGCCGATTCATCTTTTTTTTTGACAAAATTTTAATTTGTATTAACAAATCCTATAGGCTGAGTCGTGAGCGAAAAAGCATTTATACCGGAAATTAATTTGATGTATGAAGTTGATATGGGCACTTGTTGAACTTTTTCTAATCTTTGCATCTTTACTTTTGTTTTTTCTTGAAAGTTCAGCAGTACCATATGATGAGATACTTAAAAATTCGTTGCCACTCTTCGAAAAAGGTAGCCAGTTCTGAATGCAGTTTCCGTAATCTCAGTATTATTTCCGTTCCGGTTACCAACATCTGAATAATAATTCTTAATCTTTTATAACAGATTATTTAGGTATGTACAAACTCGTAGTTGAACCTGCAGTTGTTTTGAATGATTTATTATCTTCCCATCTGTTATCATTTTTATAAATAGACTAAATGTTCAAAAATTTAGTTTGCAAAGAGAACTCCTCCTTCTTACCTTTATTCAGAAATATGTTTGCCATTTATAGATGTGAATATATTGCGAATCTTATCTTATTTCTATTTTCTGGTGCCTTCAATGCCTTCAACGCCGTCATCATCAATTTTTTATCGAAATATATGGCGTTTAACAGAGCGAAACAAGAAACGAAAAAATGAAAGCTTGACGAATAGTCATTCAAATAGTGATGAAACCATTAACGATTATAGTAGTACGCCGCAGCAGCACGAACAACTACAACGATCCGTAGAAGCGTCATGTGAAGCTCAAGATGTCTTGTCATCCAAAGGGTTAGTTTGTTTACCTTGTTTTTGTTTATGCTGGCACTAAGTTGTTAGAGTTTTTGTAGAAAATATTTAGAATGTCATGTGGAATAGAAGGGCTGGAAAAATGAACATAAAAGAAACTACTGAAATATAACTTTAGTAAAGAATGGAAGAAATAATAGATAAGTTAATGAGATACACGAGTGCGGCTTAAGAAAATGTGATTGATCTATCGCGTTCAGTCGTAAGTAATATTCTCCCTCAAAACGTTTTAAGAATAAAAAATGTGGAAGTTTCTTCTCTCATCTTTTTCTTCTTTTTTTCTTCCTCTTTTTTTTTTTTTGTCGAAAAACTGCATGAAACTCAGAGATATACTAAACTTATTGAGGAGAGAGGAGGAAGAGTTTAAGTTCAACTTTACTTTTCTCAGTCCATAACCATGGAAAATGCTATTGTTTTAATTGCAGTGTTGCATTTGACAAATGAAAGTTCATTCTAGTTGCCTCAGTAGTCTTGCGAAAATTAATATATATATATATGTTTAGTCTTTTTGGCATACTTATTGTCCTTCCGCATATATGTATATAAAAAATATATATGCATTCATGGAAGAGAGCGAAAGGTTGTTGTAGTTGAAAACAGGTTCGGTCAAGGTGATGAGAGGGACGTGTATGGTTTCCATCTTGATGATCCGTTTGTTGTTGACAAAACTCAATGTATAAATGTATCGATACTCCTATACGAAATACCATTGGATTGACTGATTACATATGTGAAATATATTTCGGCATTTTTTTCAGAGATACATCTTTTGTTTTATGAGTACAATATTTTTTACTTGAATATGGTTAGGTTAAACATAAGCTGGCTTCACTAACGTTTAAATCTCTTTAGGTTATTTACTGCATTATCTAGCACTTCTTCATTCTCTTCTTTTTTCTCTTATTCTGGTTAATTAAAAAAAAAAAACATTATGTTTTAATTTGTTAAATATGTAATATATAAATATATATTATACAAAAATAAATAAAGATTATATATAATAAAGGACTAAAATAGATTTGTAAATAAATTCGGCCTTCATTGTTTGATGCTTTTTATGTAAAACAATTTCTAAAGAATAATGTGAAGTGGTAGACAATTTCTTTTATTGTTTATTATTTTCGGTCTGAAATAGCTTCTTTAAATAATGACTTCCATTTTAGCGGACTAAAAATGGTAACATTTTTTGGACAATGACTTCTCCAAAATTATTGTTATGATAACTTTAACAGCGTTAGGATAAGAAAAAATGTCATTAGAATTAAAGTTAGGTAAAATAGTTGATACGGACCATATATAATAAATCTTTGTATGCAGAAGTCATTCTATCAGTTATGGGTATTTAATTGTTAAGTGGAATTAAAGGTACTTTCTAAAACTATATAGGAGTATGATGATGTAAAGTAAAAATGATTAAACTTATTGATGAAAATTATAGTACATAATAGTTTCAGTGAGGAAATTACATTAATAACACATTTAGAAATTGGAATTAATTATATATAATTTCAATAAAAGTTTTTTTTTTTTTGTTATTAAAAGAAGCTACTATTAATTGTGTTTCTTGGTTATGGATGCTTTTTACTTGTTGAATAATAACATAATAATATGTGTGGTACTGTATATGGAAAGATGAGTGTATTTTATTTGAATTCTAACTAATTTGATTCAAAATTTTTCAGCAAACTAAAATCATTCTTTATTATATTTCAGCTTGATTATTGGAGCCAATGTAGAGGCTTAAATTCAAATTCCCTAAGGTATCACTCCCTGATAAGGAGTTTCATTCAGTACTTTGTACTTTAAAATTACCATTTTCTCTTCATCAATCCTCATTTATCATTTATACCGGATTGTTAGATCTTCACTATATTTTCCTTTGTTGGTTAACAAGAATGAATGCTATCTTTTAGCTATGAAAAATCTGAATATATGAATGAAAAGTATGTAAAGGTTTTGGCATATTTCATTTATTTATTTCTTTTAAAAGATAGGCCATTTAGATATTTACTCCCAGTTGACTTAAATAGTTCGATTAATCGTTATTTGGCTCTCTTAGATTATAAATTTCATTTATTTCTTCAAATTACTTCATTATTTATTCATTTCGAATTGATATCTTAATTATTTGATTACAGTTCTAAACATTTGGAATTTTCTTCTAAATTTTCATCGAATTCAACAGATAGCACTGTAGGATTACTAATTTTGTACAGAATTTGTTATTTAATTGTAGATATCCATAAAAAAATAAATATCTCTGCATAGTAAATCCTTAAGAAAATTATGCGTTTTAAAATTAGTTTGGAATTCAAGCATAAAAGAAGTGTAACTTTAATGGAAAATTTATCGGAGTATGTGATCATAACTATCACATCACTATGATTTTGCATTAAAAAATTCAAGGAAAAGGCATGTAAATAGGGGAGAGTGTAAATAACATTTATGGGATGTTTACATTTCTCCAAGGTCATTTGCAGTAATCGAATCATTTTTCAATAAATAAAAGCAGTAATGGCTTGTAAATTTATTAATGAGGTATTTTATTTGGGAAAAATTTGTTGTATATCAATTGATATATGCTAATGTAATTTAAAGTTTGTTTAATTTTTTAGCAATAAATATGAAAAAATGTGTTGCAGAATGTCTTAATTTTTTAAAATTTGCTTTTTCTTTAGAAATAAATGTATGTTGCTTCATTTTAAGCTTATAATTTATATTATGCTTAAATTTAAATTATAACTAAATATTTCAATGTGTTTTTCACATCGAAAAGCCCATTTTAATATCCTTTTCCACTTGTATAATTTAAATTTCACATATATATATATATATATATATAATATATTGCTTGCATGTTTTGAAAGACAAAGCTCATATTTATAATGTTAAGAATGAGATGGAAAGAGAATGGAAAAGCCAAAATAGTTGGTCTGACTAGGCTAGGAGTAGTAGTGAGTTGTGGCCAGTCTAAGTTATTTAAAATTTTACGCCACATTTGGCTAAAATTTTCCTGCAATTTCGTACTTTTCCAAAATTTCTCTCTCTTTGAACTATTATCATCACAATTTCAATTGAAAAATTCACCTAATGGGAAAAATATCATTAGAATTGATGAATCAGAAGTTTGGCCAAATGTAATACTTTTAGGCTGCCAATCTTCATTATTTTTCTAATGTATCAAAGTAAGCTTTTTTCATGAATGTTTCGCTTGGGACTTTCTATTTTTCCTTTAGTTTTTGAGAAATGTCATTCAAAGTTGAACTTTAACATGTGCCTCACATATATAATTCATTTAATTTTTCTTCTATTTTATTTCAATTTCCTTCTTATTAAAATAAGAGGAAAATATGTTTTATTTGAGCAAGTTAAAATTGTTTTTAGTTCTAATATTAATTTATTTTAGTTTGAAAGTCTTATGATGATTTTTCAGTTTTGAAATGTTTAAATTATGTTTGTAGAAAATTGAAAATAGCAATTGGTCTTTATTTGATAGTTGAAATTAATACTTAACGATCGGTCGTTAAATGCTAATTTCTACGAATGTTATGATATTGGATTGTTTTCGTAGTTTGAAATGAATTTTCATATTTGTATCATTGTTGTCATCTAGTTATTTTCATTTATTTATAAAAGAGCTTTAAATGTTTTGGAAGAGCTATATAAATGTTTTTAATCAAGGTGAATAATATAATCAGGTGATTAGTCCTGTAATAATTTTTAAATGTTGATGATGGCATTATGTAAACAGATAGTTATTGTGATAATGAATTATTCTTAAAAATTTTGTTCATAATGATATATTAATAGGTATTCTTTTAACTTTTCTATTTTAAATTAGAAGTAACAAGTATTATTCCTTATTAATATCCACATCAAATTGTAATATTAGCAAATAATTAGCTTTTACATCAAATTGTTGTATTAGCAAATAAAAAAGGAAAAAAAAAATTTTTTCTCTTCAAATAAAGAGGAAATTGAATTTGAAAAAAAAAAAAGAAAACAAAGAAAGAAAGTAAATACGGTTAGTTTTCTTTTTTTTTTTTTTTTACATTATTACATAAGTGTAAGTTGTTGTAAAGAAAGTAATATCAGAAGTGGCAAATGTTTCTTAAATATATCACTTTAATTGAACATTTTAATATTCTTAAATTTAATATATTCTTTATTTCTGAATTAAATCCATATTTTTTTTTCTCATCCATTTATTAAATTCTAGCTTTGCTCATCTCTTGCTTTTTTTTTTTTTTTATTTTTCCATTTTTTTAGAATTATATTTGTTATTGTTTGATCAATCTAATTCTTCTCTCAATCTCTTATTTACCAATTTAACTAGCTAGCAAGCTGAATTCCGTATTCCGTATTATTTACTTACTTAATATATTGCATTCCGTATTACTTAATATTATTAATAGCTGTACAATAATTTTTTTTTGACATATTCAAAAATTTAAATAGTCTGGAAGATATATTGCTTCTTTCGGTTAATTAAACATTAGATATCAGTCATCAGTGATGCCTGTAAAAAAAGCAATGGTGGATTTTTTTTTTTTCGTCAAAGTTTAAAAACTTGAATAACTTAAGCGATCTATTGCTTTTTCTGGTTGATTGCACTTACAGCATTCATTTTTAGTATGTTTTTTTTTTTTTTTTTTTCAAAAAAGTAAGCTTTTTTCCAATTGTAAATAATTTTGTTTTGTCACGACTTATAGCTTCAGTAATAATTTTCTTATTTTAGCATAAAAGATAGATGACTTGCAACAAGTTCTATTTAATTGAAACATTATTAAGCAACTTTTTGATGAATGACAATTGAATATTAAATAGAGCAAATAAAATTAAAGCGATAAATGATGAATGAAGATTAAGCATGAGTGAATAAAAAAGAAAAGATATATAATTCATGAAAGCTTCTAAGAAAAGGAAAAAAAAAAAGAAGGAAATTTATATATCTTTTCTAGCTAAAAGGAAGAGAGCTAATAAATTTCTTCAAGATTATTCTTTATGCTTTAGTTATCCATATTCGATGCATAAAATTGATTAGCATAATTTCATAAAGGTATAAACTATACAGAATCACTAATATGCATATGTATCGCTATTTGCTCCATGACAACCCTTATTGATAGAATGAAATTTGGTTTTGTTTGGCATTAGCATATTTACAGTTTAAAATTATTTAATTCTATTTTAATCAGTTACTCTCTCATCTTTTTTTTCCTCATTTACAAACATTTTTAATTCTAATCATTGCTTATATTAACCATTATTACTATCTATCGTATACTTATTTTTGTTTTTTTTTAAGGAGAAAAAAAAAGAAAAACAAAACGGAAAATTTTCTTTCCTTAAACAGCAGATAGTTTATTTGAAATTTCATTTTTTTTTTCTTCTGTTTTTCATTTTGCTAACTTTTCAGAAATCGTTTATTTAACTTTGTTTTAATTTTCTACTTCTTACTCAAATATTTGGCTTAAAAGTACAGAGTTTCTTTTTTTTTTTTTTTTCCCTTTCAGTGGTAAATTTCATTCTTCAAACATTCGAAAGATTTGTCTTAAATTTGTAGCAGAATACGGATTGGAGAGATTTTCATAATATTTTTGTTTAAGGTAGGATTTATATTTCGCTTTAAATGCTTTTCTTATCTTCTTCTATGCCTTTCTAAACTTTAAAAATTTTTTTAAGGAATACAATGAATAAATGAAAATAAAATGAATAGATAATTTATTTTAAATTTCTTTAGGAATACTTTAAATAAATGAAATGAAATGAATGAATATTATTCAATGACATTATCGATTGTGTATTTTCCATTAAATTATGTAAAATTATTTGCAGTACTTTTGATTACAATCAGTTAATATTTTTTGCTCCGATTGATATTTCGTTGTCATTTTTAATAGCTGTGACACTTTTGATTGAGTGTAAGGAAGTTTTGCCAAGTTTTCATTGCTGTGTAGCGGTAATTATATACGTCCTTTCGATCATGGATTTTTTTTTTCTTTTTGTGGAATTTTTTCTGATGGCAGTTGTTTTAATTTTGATTAAATGGAACTTATTATTATTAATTATCATTTTATCATCTCTGATATTATGCTGAAATTCTAGGTTTCATTTTGAGCTAGAATAAGATAAATTTGTCGAATTTAGTAAGTAGTGAATATGTGTTATGTTCATTAATTGATAATGATTGATCTCTCTGCTCCCTCTTTCTCGATTTAAATTGTCGAGAATTGTTACACTAATTAATGTTTCTCTTTAATTGGAAGAGAATTTTATCTTGAATACTTTTTGCATTCATAGATATGTTGATATTGTAACTGTTCTAAATTTTTTTATCAGTAACTTGGATAATTTTAAGAAGCGTTGTCCATCGTGGAATGGATCGAATACGACGTTCATTTCGCGAATCATTTCGTCGTAGAATGTCCAAGCAGCATTTCTCTCGTAGGACTCCATCTGGGCGACAGTTGTCACCGAATAGATCAGCAAATAATTCAGGTTCTAATAAAGCAGAATTATGGCAACCGGATGAAGCTGCTGTTCGGAATGGTACCTGCAATTTTAGCGTTAAGGTTAGTGCTTTTCGAATATTGAATTCAAGTGTAATGAATTATTTTTTAAGAAGCTTGAAATTGATTTTAATATATTTTTTGAACTTTTGAATGTTCTTGATTTGTTTTGAGTTCTGAAATTTTCAAATTTACTTTAAATTTTCATTATGACTATTTGAGTTATGCATAATTTTATAAAAAAATTTAAGTATCTTGGTGGTATCGAGGTGTTTGAATCGCGTGGTATGCAAATTTGTGAAGGAGCTCTGAAATTGTTGAGGGTATGTTTTAAAAAAGTTGCTTGAATGATATCTACTAATATATGTAGATTATTTATTCTTTTACAGTTAATTCTTGTATCTTTATTTCAATTATTTTCAACAATAAAAAATTTTGAGTTAATTGTTAATGGTTGAAAAAAAGATTAATACATCTCAAATAAATAATAAATGTGAGCTACATCTGTTCCATGCAGTATTTTAAGTTCTGTGATAGTTTTAAAATGTTGTCTCAATTCAAAGAGAATAATTGCTTTCATCAAAATTTTGCTGGTTATTATATCATACCTGTCGCTAACTGCTAGTGGAATAACTAAATTTTAACTGATATAATATGATAACTGATATAGTTGAAGTAATATATCATCTACAATCAATTCAAAATATTGCGTTACTTTTTTTTTCTTTTATTGTTTCTTTTTTTTTTTTTATTTTTTTTAAAGATAGCAGTGAAATTAAATCAATTCAAAATGTTCAGAAAAAATTTTTTTCTTCAGGGACAACGACGACGACCAATTAAAGCAGTTTTGTATGTTTCTGGTGATGGTTTACGTGTTGTAGATCAGGAAAGTAGTCGTGGCTTAATAGTCGATCAAACCATTGAGAAGGTTTTATTTTTGCTTTTTTTTTTTTTTGTCTTAAATAATTTTTAAAATGTTTACTTACTATATCATCTTTCCGTTTTTGCACTTATATCCCTTCATTTTTCCACTTTTCTGAATTCATTTCATTTCTCTACATTTTCTTCCATTATCTATTTAGTCCTATCTGGTTATTTCATTCTTTGCTATTAATTGCTCTTTTCCTCTTTTCATTTTCATTATGTGAATGGTAATTAATAAACCGTAAGTACTTTCAAAATTTGAGGTATCATTTTGTGCACCTGATCGAAGTCATGACAAAGGTTTTGCATATATTTGTCGAGATGGAACATCAAGACGATGGATGTGTCATGGTTTTCATGCAATAAAAGAATCCGTAAGTTTAATTTTTAATAATCATTTAGGAGGAAATACAACGCTTATTTATTTGTTTTGTATTTTATTACTTTATTTTTTTTTAAATACTTTTTTAAATTTAGATCTCAAAATTTTGAATTTATTTTCTTCAAGGGCGAACGCTTAAGTCATGCAGTTGGATGTGCGTTTGCGATTTGTTTGGAAAGGAAAAAGAAGCGTGATGCAGAAGCTGCTGCAGTGGTGCAAGCAGCTGCAGGTTTACCACCTATTGGTTGCGAGAAGCCAAATGCCACTGGTTTTACTTTAGATGAAATTACCCAACAAATACCATCCATTCCAATTAGGTTTATTTTTATCAAAAATTTAGACAAAATTAAAATTTTTCTATGATAGAATAAGATGTTTTATTTTTATCATTAATAATGTCAAAACTAATACTATTTGGATATTTGATCTTTCCATTTTTGATAAACTGGAAAGTATTAAGAACGATTGAAGAATTAGTAGTGTGATTGTTTACTGTTAAATTTTTATTTCCTAAAAAGTTATAAATTGCAAAATTTAGAATTTTCTCTCACCTATTAATGTATTTAAATCGTATTGTGATCTTTACGATAGTAGCAGTGACAAATATATCACAAAAATACAACAGAGTGTATTTGCTAGAGATGTCAAACAGATTTATATAAATATTTTTGAAATTACCTATAACTGAACCATTGAGTTATTCAAATGCCTTATTTTAACGAATGGCAGAAGTAGGATGTAACTATCAAGTAATTATAACCTTTAACCAGTGAAAAATAGCAATTGCTTAATATTGGTAAATAAAATTTGAATTGATAATTTAATTCTGTTAATTTTTACGTTAATTTCTAGTTCACTTGAACGAAATAATTGTAATGGTTCTTTTCGTCGATTATCAATAACAGAACGATTACGTGACCCGCAAACTGCAATCATACAACCACCTCCTGCAACGTCAACTCTGTCAACTGCATTACATATTACATCAAAACCACGGCCTATCGGAAATCCACTACTTCTTATAAGACAGGTTGACTAGCTCATTTGGTTTATAGTTTTTTTTTTTTTATTTCCTTTTTTTTTTTCTTTTTCTTTCATTTAAGATTAATTGATTTTGTTGAAAAAATGAGATTTGAGTTTGCATAGAATCTCACTGTAATATTTGTTATTTTGTTACTTTGGTTAATTAAACCTACAATAAACTGTAAACTTTACACTGTAAACTTCATTATATTTATACACATAGTTTGATTTTTGAAATAATTAACGCAGAAAGTTTCATTATTTCTAAGTCATAGATTATTCAGGAATTCCTTTTTTTTGTATTCGTTTTTTCAGGGATCACTACGTACTCCTGCTCCATCTATCACTAATACTCCATCATTCCATCGACAACTTTCACTCCGATCTTGTCCAGATCCTTTGATTAAAAAAGTTTGTCAAATATTTTCCGAGTCTTTTTTTTTTTTTTTGCTGTAAAAAAATGGCATATATTTTTTACTTCTATTTCAGTTATAATCTATTTCCGAATTTTAGATATGTGATACAAAATATTGGTTACTTTCAGCAACAACTATCTGCGACAACTATAGTAAAGGGTGAGCCAATTTTTGAAGATGATGAAGATAAAAGTTGGCTTAATGATGGTACATTAAATGAGGGAAGTACCTTCGAGAATGCTCCATATTGTCCAGTGAAATATAATGGATTTAGGTAAAAATATTTATTATTTCATTTTTTGTGAAATTATTATTGTCTTCATGTTTTAATTAAAACTAAAATAATGAATTAATCATCCTTTTTTTTTTTAATTTATCGATTTCTTATTATATATATATATTTTCATTTGCAGGCAATCGTTATCGTATACGGCTGCACCATACACCAGTACCTGTGAATTTAATGGTACTCAGACATATAGTTTAGTAAATTCTCCGCTGCAAGTTCAAACCAATTATTCATCATGTGTTAGTGGACCGGAATCTTGGTAATTTCGTTACATTCCTTTAGTGTAATTATGAAGTAATCCCGCTAGAAATATAATAAACATTTTAACTCATGCTTCAACCTTGGTTGTTATTAGTTGTTCAACCTATCAAAATCAATGGTACATGGTTTTGAGTTGCTCCTAGATTTTACGCAATTATATTAGAATAAACTAATAATAATACATATTACTAAAGAATTTTTTATTTCCATTTATTCGTTAACTTTGACTTTTTACACTATTATTTTTGCTAAAATTTATAAAAGTTTGAATTTTTATTACATTTTTGTGAAAATAATATAGCGAAAAAAAATCGTCAATAAATAATTGGCGAATGAAATGTAATAATTTTGATTTAAATTTGTTGATTCCTAATTAAAGTATCACAATGATATCATTCAGAAGAGCGTTAAATTTTCAATTATTTTTATAATATTTCAGGTTAAGTAGTTCCATTTCAACATGTCCATCAACGGTAAAATCAAAAGCTGATGAATGGTTGGAGCAAACATTACGCTCATCACTGTCACTAAATTCACCATGCAGAAATGCTAGTGATCTCATTAAGACAAGCCATGCGATGAGTAATGGTATTACTTTTTTGTTTTATTGATTATTAAATGCATGTTTCACCTTTTACCTTTCTTCTGAACTTCTTTTATTTTGTTATTTTAGTCTATAAGTTTATTTGTTTCACTTATTGATAAATTTCTTGCATTGTAGTTATAGTTTACATTAATTTTGGTAATTATATAGATAATTTAGTTAGAATCCAGGTAAATTCCACAAATCACTTTTTTTGTTAGATTTTCATTGCCAGTGAAATAGATAAGATGCTTTCCAATAATGCTCAATGTAGTTAACTTTGAATGTTTTAATTCATAAATTTGATATTTCTTACTTTAGTTGGGCCACCACCAGATCATCCACCTCCACCGCTACCAAGTTCATCAACCTTCCAGAGTATAGGTTTGGAAACAGCAATCCGTTTCAGTAGTGACTTTTCGCAATACGAATTACCTACGACAACCGAAGATTTCTCATCTTTGGACAAGGTATTTAAATTATTGAACTTGTAATGACAGACAAGTAAGATAAAAGATTGAAAAAGAAAGTGAAAGTTTACAATGACTCATATCAAATTTGATACATAGACTTGTGAATGATTGATAAACTAATTGAAGAAATAAATAAAATGATTTCTGAAAGTTAACAACAATTTTCTTTGTTATCAGATGGATGCTTAATGCAAATTTAATAATAAATATTAATAATTGAGCCAATAAAGAACAGTCTGTATGGTTTAATTTGTGCTTGAAAATTTGCACATTATTTTATAGAATGCTACAACCATACCAGCAGATTCATCCGAGATTGATATTTTCGGTCAGCCAGTGTTCAGTGCATTGCTGTCAAACTCTCAAACAACCCAGAAACAAGGTAGTCATTATTTGAAAAATTTAGATTAAATTTGACGCATAAGAAATTTTAATAATTAGCAATAACGTTTTTATTTTCGTTGAGTAGTTCTTATTTATGATTAGTATAAATAATGTTTATGTAAACTTTGCGTAAAAGAATTATGTCAATTGCTGTCTCATTTACATATATGGATAGGGAATAAAGCGATTACATGGACGTTAGCAGTTTAAAGGTTCATTTTTGCTCAGTTGGAAATTATGTTTTCGATCTTCGATCTATGAGGATCGTGAATTTCGTTTGAATTTACAATGAATTTACAGTGAAATTTTGAAATGTTTCAGTGCTCATAAATTAAACTTAAATAGAAAGTGAGTGTTAATGATTTCGAATTAGTATATGTTCTAAAGATATTTTTAGAGAATTGTATATAATTTATGAATTGTTATTTGTTTCAAAAAAAAAAAAAAAGAAAAGAAAAGGTTGCTGTGATAATTATTGATAACTAATATTTAATGGAAAAAATTTTAGATCAAACGAATGATAAAGAATCCGAAAAACCAGACGAAACTGATCCATTTGATGTTAGATGGTCCCATTTAGCTGTAAATGTTGCGACGACATATCCGGTGCCGGTTCATTCAACTAATCCATTTTATTCGGAATCAAGCGCCGTGAAAATTTGATAGTAAATGATGTTTTTTTTTTTTTTTTTTTTTATTCTTTATTTTTTTGTTTTGTTTTGTTTTTTTTTTCATTGCATTGATAACTATTATTGTAATTATGATTTTATCATGATATTTGTTGAACATCAGGCTTTATTAACAAGAAAAAAAGGCGAAGAAATTTAAATGATAAAATAATCAAAGAATGGATTATATTCTTTCTGTATGTTGAATGTTAAATTTCTTTTGTCTTTTTAAATATTTCAATTGGTGCCATTTGAATGATTAACTATTGCTTATAATATTGATGATTTTTCTTCATTGCCTAATCAATCATTCATGAAAATATATGAATGAAATGAAAACACTTTGCAATTTTTTTTTTCGATTGAAAAGTGGTTAATTTAACCATTGAAAAGTTATGTGAGAAATTTTTTGCGACAAATTGATATCAGTATGATTTTTTTGTTTTTGTTTCTCTTTTTTAGAAGAAAACTAGCTGATTAGTTGAATAGTTAGTTATAGCTGAATTATCATTTATTAAATATACCAAGGGATAATTAATTACTCTATCAGCATACTATGTTCTCTGGCTTTTGGCTTTTTATATTAAGCTCACATTCATTTATGAAATATGCCTTTATTTATTTACAATATATATGTATGTATGTATTTATTTACTTGTTTTAATGCCATATATGTTTTTTTTTTTTTGTTAATTATTCGGTGATATAGTTGCTACGCAATAAAATAGAGTAGGTTGAATAGAAATTTACTTAGAAGTATTTATTATAATTTACAGGAATATAGTTTTTTTTTTTTCAAATTCTTTTATATGCTAGCAAGATGATTATTTGTCGTCAATAAATAATTAGACTGAATCTCTCTAAATTCCGAATGCTCTTATAGATTGAGGGAATTATTTCTCTTTACTGTTATGTATAGAAAATAGTGAAGTATAACTTTTTGTTCTTTTATCAACAATTCAATTCAAAATAATATCAAATGTATGTGAAATGATATTTTATGAATTCTACAGGATTTGTCAAAGCTAACAATTATTATTATGGGAAGATAAACTTTTTTGATAGCTTTTTTTATCTGTTTTCTGGTATTTATACTGATAACCAGTTCATGATTGTTTTTTTTTCTCTCTCTCTCCCTCTCCCTTTCTTTCTCTCTCTCTCTCTGATATTTCTTTCAAATAAAGGATGCATTTTGTAATTTTGGTGTAAAAACTTATAATATTGCCCGTTTCGTAAATGTTTTGTGCAAAGAATATCTCATTAATAATACATTTTTATCTGGAAAAGAAGAGAATAAAATTTGCAAAATTCAGGTCAGATTAAGGAAAATTTGATGTAAAGAAAAAAAAAAAACTTTGCGAACTTCACTTAATCTTTGGAATATCAGTCTGCTCGAATTTGAAATTTTGGAATTAATAAATCACATTTGGAATTAAATCTGAAAATTTGGCATTTGATTTGTCTAATCAAATGCACAATTTAATCACACAGTTCTTCATTTATTGCACATTTCTCATTTGCTAACCTAAAGATCAGTGTTTCAATTTGACCACAACAGTAGTAAGCTTTACGTGAAATTTTCACGTGATATTCAGAGCAAAAGTTTAATTATAACTTTGTCATATGTGACAGACACATCAAGTGTTATACCATTTTCAATCTTTTTTTTTTTTCCTCCATTATTTTATTTAAATATATTCATTAAATGTGTTCCATTTATTAATTATCATTACTCAATTAACTGATAAACAATTATATCAGTTATAGCATTTTTCTTTTTTTAAAACTTCTAAACAAATAATTTTACATACAGCTAATTGATAAGTATATTTTGATGACAAATTAGCTATAATGGAATTATTTTTATCTAATTATTCTTATTGATAGTTTCAGTTTGATTGTGTAGCGGTTTGTTTGTCGTTATAAACAATTTGTTGATACGACAATACAAATAGAATACAGTTAGTAATAAAATAAAATCATAATTCAACCATTCAGTTTATTCCAATAAAATGCTATAAAATTTCTTTTGAATTGCTAATCCATTGGAGAATTTATTTGAGCAGAATTTCACATATTAATCAATCCCACTTGATAGGTGTTGCATTCAGTTATTGATCATTTTAGTGAGTCAAGAATCTCGAACAGGTAAAAAGAAATCAGTAAGACGACGATCAGCTACTCGTAGCTTTAGAAAGGGTATTAAGATATATTCAATTTCATTATCATTTTAATAATAGCCTCTTTTATTAATGATTAAATGATAAAATTATCAATTGGATTGCAAAAATTATATTGCAACATTACAAATTTATTATTATTGTTAATGTCTCTAATAATTATTACTTGAATTTTTGAAAATTTAAAACTTTTAAATTGCAATAACACTTCTTTTTTGGTTTTTTCTTTGAATTTTCAAAGTTAGTAAAATTTTGAAAATTTTTAAATTGTAACAAAAATAACACGAAATGTATGATTTAACTTGAAATTATAATTTACAATAATTTATCATATCTTGATTTAATAAAATATAAAACGTAAAGTGGAATAAAAAAATAAGGTTTTCTAAAAAAATGAATAGAACTTGCTGATGAGGATGGCACACAAATGGAACGTGATTCTCGACTAAGTCGTCGCCGGCTTGCTACACTTCGGAAAGGACCGGAAAACCGGGATATGATAGTTCAGATGAAAGCTTTTTGCACAACTACTGTTGCAACTGGAGTTCAGGTTATCCAGTCACCTCTCTCTCTCTCTCTCTTTCCCTTTCCTTCTCCTGTTTTTTAGATTGAAAATTCTTACAGTTTCTTTTTTTATAAACAAAATGAAATAATTTTTATTAGCATTTTAATTTCAAATCTTTTTTTTTTCATGAAACTAAATTTCAAATCTTTTTTTTCCTTTTTGTTTTCTTTAATGTTTTAAGCCAATGTTTTATTTATTGTTTGAATCTGACGTAACCTATTTAAATTAATAAGCTAAACTAATAGAATACGTATAACGTTTCATATCACGTGCTTAAACTTTAAAAATTAAAAAAAAAAGCACTAAAATAACTGATAACAATTCAAAGTCAGTCAATATTTCTTCGGTTTAAATAAAACTTTACTCTTAAATTAATAAATTTTGACTACCTGGGTAGTAATCCCAAATTTTGATTGCCTGGGTAGTAATTCAAAAACCGAATTTTAAATGTCTTTTTAAAAAATAAAAAAAAAACTAAAACATTTCACAAAAATAACATAAAAACAAAAAATAAAAAAAAAAAAACATAACAACAAACAGAGTTAAAAAATAAAATTATAGTCTGAAACATTTATAAAACAATTAAAAAACTACCAGCGAACAAAAAAAAATTCAAACTTAATATTATAAAAAAAAATAAATTCTCTTTGATTGCTCAAAATGTTTATTTGTTTATAGGAAAAAAGGAATAAATAATTTGTCATTTTCATTTTTCAGCTTTTTTTTTTTGTTTTTTGTTTCTGTTCTTATTAATTAAACATTCAAATAATTATAAGTTCAATTTTTTTTGCATACGTTCACGAATTTTGTAAATTAAATTAAAATTAAAAGTACAAAAGTTATATCATAAAATTAAAAGTATATACTTATGTCATTGGATAATTCTTTTTATAAATATAATAAATTTAAACTATTATTAATTTCATACAAATATTTATGCAAATAACATATAATTATTAATATTTATTGGAGTTTAAACTTAATAATTGGTAATATTTACAGGGTTTGATGAAAGAATTTAAGGAAATACGAGAAAGCAGTATACCACCATCGCAACTGGTTAAAACTGCATTCGATAAAAATCCGGATAAAAACAGATACAGGGGTTAATTGGATAGTTTAATTAATTTTTAATTAGTTAAAATTAATTAAACTTTGAAATTAACAATTAAAATTGATTTAAATTAATTAAACTTCAGTTCCATTCATTTAGTTTTCTTTTTTCTTATTTCTTTAATCTTCTTGCTTTTTATTTTTTGAAAAAAAATGATTGGATTTTTTGCAACCATGTTTTTTTTTTTGTTTATTATAATTACAAATTATGTTTACAAATAATTATTTAATAAATTTGCATATTTGATTAGATGTATTCTGTGTTGATGAAACAAGAGTTGTGCTAAATTATCCACCAAAAACCACAAATGATTATATTCATGCAAATTGGGTTGATGTAGTTTCGATGAAACAACGGTTTATCTGTACTCAGGTTTATTCCTCTCTTTTTAATAATTTTTGTTTTTTTTTTTCATTCTTTTAAAATTTCATTAATATTATATTAAATTAAAATATATATTATATTAACATTGTAATAATATTTCATTCATAGCGTTCATTTTAAAATTTATATTTTAAATATTTCAAAAAATTTTAGCACTTATAGTTGTAATTAATATTAATTTTTGAAATAATTATGTCAAATTCTAACATAGATTATATGTTAGATATATAAAATGTCTTAAATTTTAATAAAAATTAATTAAAAAAAAGAATTAATAAAAGTTAATTATTATAAATCTTATAATCATAAAATCTGGCAAAATATTGTTAAATTACCTAAATTTATTTGGTTAAAAAAAAAAACAAATATATTTAATTAGAATATAATTTTAATTTGCATTATATATTAGAATGTATTTTTTTTTACAACTCATTATTTAATTAAATTAATTAATCAATCAATAATTACTGTTATTATTAACTAAATTAATTTATATTAGAATGCATTATTTTTCTTTTTTTTACAACTCATTATTTAATTAAATTAATTAATCAATCAATAATTACTGTCATTATTAACTAAAATAATTTTTATTAGAGTGTATTTTTTTATTTTTTGAACTCTTTATTCAATTAAATTAATTAATCAGTCAGTAATTGCTATTGTTATTAACTAAATTAATTTATATTAGAATATATATTTCTGTTTTTTTTTTTTTATTTGAAAAATATTTATTAAATTGATAAAAAACA